AATTTAAGCGATCTAATATATAATTTATGTGGAATGTTACTCGATCACAGAGCTAGCTAGGTAGCTAACGGAATGTTGGCCTAAATGAGGGAGATCAAGAATTAAAGTTCGAATTCATTAGGTAGCTAACAGAATGTTGGCCAAATAAATCTTGAGTTTTTCAAATGACTTTGGCCGGTTTAGTAAATGGCTATTAATTAATTAAATAGTTGATTGTGTTAATTAGATGGTATAATTAGTTGATAACATTAGCTGAGTGTAGAAAAGTATTTGATAAATTAGATGTTAGCTGATAGCTGTTTGGTATAATTTCTTTTCTCAAAAAGCTAATTAAAAAAGTTGTTTTGAGTAGCTTTTTGAATTTTAACATTTTGAAATACAAAAAACTAATTAATCAAACACTTATATTAATTTTTAAATCAAGTCAAACAATTAATATTGGTCAAATAAGTCAAAATTGGCCTATAAGCTAACTATTTTACCAAACAGGGCCTTTGTATACTTTTATGCATAAAAGATCACGGTGATAAATAAATCTTGAGTTTTTCGAATGACCCTGTATACTTTTATGCATAAGAGATTAGGGTGACTCAATTGCCCAGCGAACATGGTCAAATGTCAGCGCATATAAAGGATTTGCTCACTTTGAACATAATCTTCTTACTGTTGTTGTTGAAATTTAAATATTGGTCTATTCTCTCATATATTATGTACTGAATCAATGAACTAATTAAGTCGGTGCAAACAACTAAATGTTGATTCTCAATCACTTGAATTTACTTTAACAGTGTGATAAATGTCGTTGAGGATATGATAGGACAAGAGATTCATTAATTTTCGCGACAGTCGGAGGCGAAGATGAGACAAGCACGCAATTTATGGGAATGTGTCTTGGCTTATTGCTTGCTCCATCCCATAAAACATCCTTCATTCCGTCGTATTTCTTGCATTACTTTTTCCCTCGATACCCGTTATTCTTGGACTCTTATCTCCCTCCCATCTTCAATTCAAATAATCAAAAACAATATCCAAATAGGGGTACATGTTTAATTTGATCTCATTCTATTTATACTTCCTAATTAATGTGTAAATTGATAATTATATTCGTAAAGCTAGTCTGCTTCTTTTTGTTTTTTGTTTTTTTTTTTTTTTTTTAAATTTAAATAATAATAATTTCCTTATAATCATGTTAAGGTTTTCATTAAGTTTGTTAGGAGATCTGATTTCTTCAAAACCAATAACACCTATACTAAAGCTTGAACTCACAATCTTTTAATTGAAAGTCTAACTGGATACCATTAGACCACATAGTCTTAGTTCTTTATTCGAACTTAAGTTAATGAAAGTTTTGTTTTCAATCCAAAAAAATAAAATAAAATAAAATTAGCAATGCAAAAGTAGAGTGCCAGTTAAGAAGTGGTTGTAAAATGTTTTTTTTTTTGGTGAATAATTAAAAGGGCATGTCGTGCCAATGTTGAAGGAGATGGGTTGTGGTGCTTCATTTTTAGGGTTTTTTTTTTTTTTTAAATTTAATTTTCTCAGTTTTATATTTGGGACTTCATGAACTCATCCTAGACCTATGAAAAATTAAATTGAGTAAATCTAATTTTGAGATTCAACACCAAACTGTACGTACACTTTTATGCACAAAAAATCCAACCCTCAATATTCGTGGCAGAAATCAAACACTACCATACCGTTAGAAGTAAGTAATAAATAAATAAGGTTTCTTATCTACAAAACCGATAACTAGGGGCATTTTTGTCATTTTTGTCTTAGCTTCTTCATCTACATAGCCTTACATACCCTGCTGCTTTAATTTCTTGTTGAAGTTTTCACGAGATGAAAATGACTCACCTTTGTCCATGCATGCATGCATGGTTGAAGAAACAAACAGATATTTAGCCCTATTGCCAGCAAATCATCAGACTTTGTCTCTACCCACATTTAAAAAAAAAAAAAAATACTCTAATATGTATTTTGAGTTACAATGTAATATTATGTGTTTTATCAAATAATATTTTTAAATTTGTCGTAAAGCACAATTAAAGGTTGTATTTCGTCTTTAATCAAAATATAAATCTACTGAACGAAATGCATTTATTATTTATATATATTATGCTCAACAAATATAATTTTGTAGAGCACGTACAAATCATATAGTACCCCACAATATTGTAAAATTTTCTTATTATGCATTTAGAAAAAAATTTAAAATGTCAAAGAAATACCATATCTACAATTATAAATCATAAGTAGTAGACTAGTATTTGACACATTCTTTTGGATGATGAAGAAAATTCACCGTCACTACATGTGGGGTGAATTGAGTCCCGCTCACTTTTGTGTAATAGTTTGTAAACTACACAAAAAATGTAATATGAGTAGTATGGTAAAAGTATCTCAAGTATTAAATAAGGGTAAGAATTCTTTATCATATCCCTGATCAAACTAAGGGCAAAACAGTCTTTTTATTGCAACCTCAGCTAAAACAATTCATTTCCCTTTGAAATTAGTCCTAATCCACCGAAAAAATTGCAATTGAACGAATTTCTGAGGGGAAAAAATTGAAATTGAACAAAAAAAATTGCAATTGAAAAATTAAACTTGGGCTAATTTAATTTATAAGGGAAATGAATTGTTTTGACTAGGGTTGCAATAAAAAAAAAAATTGTTTTGCCCTTACTTTTCACGGCTCAGACGGAATATCTTAACGGAAGGACTATGGCAGTTTGAATTCGAAACCCGAAGGATCATGAAGGGTCGATTTGAAAGTTCAGGACTAAGGTGGCGAAACCACAAAACTCGAAAGACCTTGGCTGACATTTACTCTCTCTCTATATAGGATGAGTGTATATGTATATATGTATGTATAATGGACCACCTGCAGCTTATTCTTGTCTTCAGTTGTATGTATAGTCAGTTCTGTATGGATAGAGAAAACAGCATGTTGCCCTATGCTGCTTCTCAATCTCCACCCCACATTGTTTTGGATCCGATCCGATCCCTCCCTGACATGTACGCACTAAAACATGTCTATGATATCGATCGATATTGTATACTAATACAGTAATATTTAATAAAAATATGGAAAAGGGTCAAATAGCCCTCGAACTTTAGCTTAAAAGTCAATTAGATCCCTAAACTTTTTAAAGGTGCAATTACACCCATCAACAATTCATTTAGGTGCAATGAAACCCAAAAACAAATTAATGACCTGCTATCACAGGTCATTAGGGTTCAAGCCACCTTCCGGCAAAAAAAAAAAAGTGACCGTCAAAATTTCCGGCAAAAAAAAAAAAAAAAAAGAAGTGACCGGCGACTGACGAACGGTCGCCGGCGGTCACTTTTTTACCGGAAATTTCGCCGATCACTTTTTTTTTTTGTCGGAAATTTCGCCGGAAGGTGGCCTGAACCTCAATGACCTGTGGTAGCAGGTCATTAACTTGTTTTTGGGCTTCATTGCACCTAAATGAATTGTTGATGGGTGTAACTGCACCTTTAAAAAATTTAGGGGCCAAATTGACTTTTAAGTTAAAGTTCGAGGGCCTATTTGACCCTTTTCTCATAAAAATATATAATTATACCTAGTATTATTCGGTACATACTATATTATTTGATGTAGATATGTTATTAGTTAATTTAAACCTTTATGCACATTTTGAAGTAACGTAACAAATCTCAAATGTAATGATAATTCAATTCATGTACGTTGTTATAACACACACACACACACATATATAGTTTAACTATCAATTTAATTATACTTCTAGTTGAGGAACACATCAATCGTTCAATTGTTGTGTATCTGTAGATGAGAAGTCTCACTTAAAACTTGCTTCCAGCGGTAGACTGAGGGTTCGTTATTGTCACAAACAGTGGGGATTTGAATTTGGATTGGACTCTTTGTGAGCATAAGTGACTCATGGGGTCTAGATTATATATATAATCCGTGAATTTTGGAAACATGAGTTATATAAAAAAAAAAATAATTGCCTAGAGTGAGTTCCTTTGGCGTGTGAGAGTTTCACCTAATATGATGAGACTCTTTGTGAGCACTATACACTAGTTCGTCCACCCACTAAGTTACTTAGTCACCATAATTTACCTATTCATTATTTATTGAGACTGTGAAGGTTATGGAGTACGTAAGGGAATTTTATCTTTTGTTGACAAAGTAAAAGGTGGAGTAAAAAAAATAAATGTAATATTTTTTTGAAGGGAAAATAAATGTAATATAATTATATTAAAACTATGATTAAAGAATTGAGAGTAAACTTATATACAACAATAGATACATATGGATTAACTACCACTTTAATGGTCTGTTTATTTCAGAAAATCATTTTCTATTTTCTATTTTCTAATTTTTTCAGTTTTCATTTATTATTTTCTAATTTCGATTTTCTGTTTAGAATACATGTTTACTAACACTTTTTTATTATTATTATTATTTTTGAAATTTACTCTTTTTTAGACTAACGTAATAAAATTAACACAAAATTGATTTCGAGTGATTTTAAAACCTTATATTTAAATTATTTTTGAATATGTTTGGTTTAAATTGAATAAATAAATATTTACTTTGGATATGAATGTATCAACAATGAAACAAAGTCATCAGATTATTTTTATTTAAATTTCATGCTAGTATTATAGAACAATTATCTAATGAAAACTTGGAGAAAATGTTATGCGAACACAATTTTAAAAGTAAATATGTTTAATTAGATTTTATTTAAAAATAAATGGATTAATTGAATACTTATGGATGAAAAATGAGACTATTTGACACTTTTGTCTCAAAAAATATAAAGATTAAAGAGTAATAATGATTAATGAAAATGAGATGGGGGTGGTATTTGTGCTTAGGTGCGCAGAAGTGATTAATAAATGAATAGAATAGTCATTGACGCTTTTTAACGGTCCAGAAGTGAAAAGTGGAGGCCTCGTGGTTGGTTCAGTTAAAAAGCAAATCCCATCACTGCACTCTTCACGTTTCAGTCTTTTCTTACAAATCAAATCTCTTCCCAACTATGACACAGAGAGAGAGTATAACACAGTATACCTGTGAAGCAGAACATTTTCCCCCTCTCTTCTCTCTCTCCTCTTTATTTCACCCAATTCTCTTCCTATAAAAACATCATCTTTTTCTCCGAACATCCACTCTGCCATTTCTCATAGCTTCAGGCAGCCATTGGACAATGGGTTCCTTGAGTTTTCCCAAAAAGAATGCCTTTTTCCTTTTTCTTTGTGTTTTTCTTGCCCAGATTAGCCTATCCCTTTCTTCCAAGGTAAAAAAAAAAAATGCCTTTTTTTTTTTTTTTACTGTTTTACATCGTTCAAGAATGTCTTCTCCATGCTGCATATGTACGGAGAAATGTGTGTCCTTGTGTTTCTGACTGTACGATGATTGTGTTTCTTGTTTCGTAAAATGTAGTTGTATGTCGTCTACATGGGAAGCAAAGGGAGCGGCGAGGACCCAGAAGGGATTCTGAAGCAACACCACTACATGCTAGCTTCTATCCATGGAGGAAGGTCATTACTTCTTCCCTCTCTCTCTCTCTGCAATTTTGATTTTTCATCAGTTTTATTCACACTTCCTGAGGTCTCTTCCCAGAATGTCTTTTTTTTTTTTTTTTTTTTTTTTTTTTTTTTTTTTTTTTGAGTGAAAGAGAGAAACCCGCAATGATTACATAATATGTGCATTGGCTAAATCCCGCCCGGTTACCCTAGTGGCAAAGGTCAATATGTCGCTCTGTTGGGAGTCGAACTTGTAGGTCTTGTGACCCTGGCTGTCAAAGGACCGGCCTATGTTGCCCATAACTGATCGCTTAAACTAAGAATGCGAATAAGCCGCTCCCGTCAGAAGTTAGAACTTGTAATCTTGTAGTTATCTGGTCAATAGTCTAACCAACTTAGTTAAGTATGTCCTATTTTGGTTAATTTTTGAGTGAATGACAAGCTGTTGATGTGTGTTGCAGTGTTGAGGAAGCTATGGCTTCTCATGTGTACAGTTACAAGCATGGTTTCAATGGGTTTGCAGCCAGGTTGACAGATGAACAGGCCTCTGAAATTTCCAGTAAGCAACTAACTCCATCTTGAATAACTGTGACTGACAAGTAATTTGAGTATATTAAGGATGTTAAGATGGAGAAAGAACAGTTTCCTGATACAATTGCACTCAATGTTGGGTACTTACAAACAGAAATGCCTGGAGTGGTCTCGGTTTTTCCTAATTCTAAGAGGATGCTGCACACGACTCATTCCTGGGATTTCATCGGGCTTAATGGTGAAGAAACCATGGAAATTCCTGGGTTTTCTACCAAGAACCAAGTCAATATCGTAATCGGGTTTATTGATACAGGTAGCCTTTCTGTTACTGGAAATTCTTTCAGATAGGAATCATCATAGGTAGGTGGATAGTTGATAACAGAGTGATGGTATGCACTAAAGAATGTAATTTTACCTATTTCTTTGATTTCCGGTAAAGCCCGTGGCCTCTGTATGAAGATGTGCTTTGGGTGAAGCCCACCTTATGACCCTAGCCGGCAAAAGGCTAAAGGAAGTAAACTAGCCTAGATTACCCATAGCCGACCGGTCTGGGTGAAGCCCATCCTGTGACCCCAGTTGGCAAAGGGCTAAAAGAGATAAATCAGCCTATGTTGCTCATAGCTGACCGGCTCAAACCATTCTGTCTTGTAGATTTGCAGTCCATAACTCTCGGGCTTAGCTTAATCATCTCTCTCCATCCCTGTTCTCAGCAGCATAGCTTGGTCCCCTCTGCATTTCTGTTTTCTTCACATGTTAATCCAGTTAATCATGTCCTGGAATTAAGGTTAAGACATAATGTAAAACAGGGATTTGGCCTGAATCTCCAAGTTTTAGTGATGCTGACATGCCAGCAGTGCCAGCTGGATGGAGGGGACAATGCCAAACTGGAGAAGCCTTCAATGCTTCAACATGCAACAGGTTTTGATTGTTACACTAACTTTTGCCTGCTTTTATTGAAGCTTATTGATTAGTTGCTTGGCTACTAAGCTTCGGCTGTTATGGTCTTGTCTAGGAAAATAGTTGGCGCCAGATATTACACGGGTGGCTATGAAGCTGAAGAAGATTCTGGGAAGACGATGACATTCAAGTCTGCTAGGGACAGTTCTGGTCACGGCAGTCACACGGCTTCAACAGCAGCTGGCCGCTATGTTGCAAATATGAATTACAAAGGTTTGGCATCTGGAGGGGCGAGAGGAGGTGCGCCTATGGCCAGGATAGCGGTCTACAAGACTTGTTGGAGTTCCGGTTGCTATGATGCAGATTTGTTGGCAGCATTTGATGATGCAATCAGAGATGGAGTTCAAGTGGTGTCCCTATCTTTGGGTCCAGATGCACCCCAGGGAGATTATTTTAGCGACGCCATCTCTGTGGGGTCCTTCCACGCTGTAAGCCATGGAATAACTGTGGTTGCTTCGGTTGGGAATCAAGGAACGGAAGGATCAGCTACTAATCTCGCTCCTTGGATCATTACAGTCGCTGCTAGCTCAACCGACAGAGAATTTACATCTGATATCGCGCTTGGAAATGGTGTTCGACTCATGGTAATGTCAAACTCTGAAAAGACTGAAAGTGTATGTATCTGAACATCTAACACGATTCCCCTGTTCTTACCTGTTTCTTGCTTAATGGAAGGGTGAAAGTCTCAGCACGCTTGAAATGACTTCATTTGCAAGAATCATTCCCGCTTCCAAGGCTTTTAATGGATACTTCACGCCTTATCAATCCAGGTGAAGCAACAGGTACTTGACTGCTTATGAAATCCAGACAGCTGTCCATTATACAATGATCTAAAGCTGCTTTCTTCTCTCCAACCTTTTTCGCTAGTTACTGCTTGGAGAGTTCTTTGAATAGAACCAAGGCTGAAGGGAAGGTTCTCGTGTGTCGACATGCTGGAAGCTCAACAGAGTCCAAGCTGGCAAAAAGTGAGGTGGTTAAAGAAGCTGGCGGAATCGGGATGGTTCTTATAGATGATGCGGATAAAGATGTCGCCATTCCCTTTGTCGTCCCTGCTGCAATCGTTGGGAAGCAGACAGGATACGAGATCCTTTCTTACATTAACAGAACAAGGTTTGGTTGGTTGCTACGCCAGTAGCTGTCGTTCTGTCAAACCAGTTCAATTCATAATTCTGGAATCTGGATTTTAATCTATGTATCTTCTTCCATTTCAACAGGTCCCCTCTGTCTAAGATTCTGTCTGCTAAGACTGTATTAGGAACCCGGCCTGCTCCACGTGTTGCTTCCTTTTCAGCAAAAGGCCCCAATTCTTTGACTCCAGAAATTTTGAAGGTAATATCCATGCCCAAGATACTAAAACCATATAAGCAATCATAGGTTAACTCTTAATCGTTTTCCCTCGTTCTTTCTGAAATCCATGATGAGAGCTCTTGCAACTTTTCCTGACTCGTTTTCCTTTGCAGCCTGATATTGCTGCACCTGGTTTGAATATCCTAGCAGCTTGGTCTCCAGCAATTGCAGACATGAATTTTAATGTACTTTCTGGAACTTCTATGGCTTGCCCCCATGTAACGGGGATTGTAGCCTTGATAAAAGCTGTGCATCCATCATGGTCTCCATCTGCGATAAAATCAGCAATCATGACAACGGGTAAAGCTGCCATGGATTATTTTAAGTATCAGCAATGCTTCCCCCATACATAACTTTAGAACTCATGTTATCACTGTCAATGCAGCTACGGTTTTGAACAAGCATCACAAACCCATCTCTGCTGATCCCGATGGGAGAAGGGCCAATGCGTTTGATTTTGGTTCTGGTTTTGTTAACCCAGCAAGAGTCCTTGATCCTGGTTTGGTCTACGATGCACAGCCAGCAGATTACAAAGCATTCCTCTGCTCAATTGGTTACAATGAGAGATCACTGCACTTGATCACCGGAGACAACAGCACCTGTGATCAGACACTTCAATCACCATCCGCCCTTAACTACCCATCCATTACAGTGCCAGCCCTCATCCACAAGTTCTCGGTGACCAGAACTGTAACAAACGTGGGAGAGCCAAGAAGCTCATACAAGGCAGTCGTGTTTCCTCCAAGAGGAATCAATGTGACTGTGGTGCCTAGACGACTCACCTTCAAGCATTACGGTCAGAAGCTTAACTTCACCTTAAGTTTCAAGATGGCTGCTCCAACACAAGGCTATGTTTTTGGGTCATTCTCATGGAGAAGCAAGAAGAACTGGGTAAGATCCCCTCTGGTTGTGAGAGTGGCAGGCTCCAGGACGGGTCTTCCGGTGTAAAACACCTGGAAAAAAGATGATTAAGGATCAGATCATAGGAAGTAATAGTGGATCCAATGTCATTTATTTGTTGCAGAAACCAGAATTTAAGAATACATGTAATTATATACAATTTATTCTTAAATCTTATTGTTTAATGATGTTTGGTTAATGTAAATCAATGAATTCTGGGTCTCTACTTACATGTATTGTTATGCAACCCATATTCACCAGTTTGACCTTTATACACAAAAGACATAGCCTCCACATACTATAACTCAAGAAGAAGACAATGGTGCATTTTGAACACAGTAAAAGTACTTTAGTTATTACTACTCAGCCAACAATGCATTACACAATTGTACTGTATCATATTAAAATGCATAATGACAAGTCATCAGTTATTACAAGCGCTGGCGTCGGGACTGAATCTCTGAAGGATCAACTAGACCTTCTAACACAACAAGATCATCCAATAGGCTCAGTTTCTCCTCCTCGAGCGCCTTTGTCTCGTCTTCGACTAACTTTAACTCTTTCTGAAGCGTGCAGCTTTCCTCCTCCAACAGCAAATACTTTCGCCTCAGTACACGATATTCATCTCCAGAAGTAGAGGCATCTACTGCCAATGAATTTGGCTTTGGTTTCTCTGATTTGTGGAACAACACGGAAGCTTCATTTGTCTGGCCTCTTTTGGAAGCCTTCTGCCCTACTTGAACCGACAGGGCCTTCTTTTGTGCAGCAGCTTTCTTTTTCCTTGGCTTGGGAACTAGATCATTCTCAGGTAGCACTATCCTCTGATCTTGCATCTCTAAATATTTTATGGAAAGAACTATTAAAAAACAAACAAACAAAATCATAATATGCACACAGCAAACATCTACAGTTTCAAACAAGGAAGTAAAAGCATCTCAAATCAATTTTCAATAGCATCAACAAGAACTCAAGAACATACACCTACAAGAAATGAAGAAGTTCATTATTCAACTTTTACAATATTTAGCACAACAGCTGAAACGATCACACAAAATAAAAGAAAGCTCAAAATTTTAAAAGAAAATAGCAGGTAGCTTATTGCGTTTGGGATACAGCTCATACGGATTGCACTATACTAACCATTTGGTTATCAATACTTATCATAACACAATCTTGTCTCACACTATCCACAATAAGTGAATGTGGTTATTGTGGTAGAAGATTTTCTACTATAAACTGAATGATAAGGTTAAAAATCCACACAATTCAATGAATTCATTCGGCATACAGACCGTCTAAAGAGTAACATTACATCACTATGGGTACCACCAATCCTTCCACTGAACCCCTTCTGGAAACTTTAACCCCAGCACTCCAGCAGCCCTTGGTTCAATAAAAGAAAAGTCAGCCCTATGAATACCAAGCAGCAAATGCCAGTCCTTTGTACTTTACCATGGGGTAGGAACTAATCAAATTCCAAATAGTTTCACCAAAATCATTCAGTGCAAAGAATGGAACACAAGAAACTGATGGCACGTTTGGTTCACAAAATAGGCCTGGAATGGAATAACATTCCCAGTAATAGGTCTATTCCTTTGTTTGGTAAAAAGATCAATTCCAAGGAACAATGTTTCTGGGAATGACCTATTCCCCTTGCAAGTCATCCTTCAATAACATGCCTACAACATGCTATGTACTCATGATCTATATATCTGTAAGCACTGAACTCTCTCTCTCTCTCCCTCTCTCACATTCACACACACACACACAAACCATATTGGTTCATTCATAGAGTGCTAGAACAATTTGAAACAAGAAATAGGCATAAAAGCCATGAACAATTGAAATTCTATTAGGCAAAACTAGTGAATTAATGCAAGATAGGGAAATGAAGGGAAGTTGAATCGAATTGATTCAACTATCCGCCTAAACCAGAGCCACCATACAAGCAAAACAAAAATCTAATGATCACAGAAAATCAAAAGAACGATTCCCACAAGCAATTAAACAAAACAAAATCGAAGGTATAGAGTCGAATTAACTGTGAAACAAATCGGCACCGGTAGAATTTCTGTGTGGCGAAGAAGAGAGCCTTCGTTCTCCTTCCTCCCTGTCACTGCAATCAAAACCTTCCCGGGTTCGTTTGGTGCGTAAATATGGAGGAGAAAAATAAATAAATAAAACGTGTTCTAATTCTGGACTGAATAGGAAAGATTTTGGGCTCCTGCACATGGAAACTTAGAATTTGCTAAATGGCCCATCATTCTTAACAACTTTTTTTTTTTTATTTGGGTCCTTTTTTTTTTTTTTTTTAAATGACGAGAGATATTTACAATCACTATTTAAAGGTGCAATCATTATATCGTGGATTAGGGTTTGCAGTGCACTGTAAACCCTGATCCTAAACAATATAGTTTTAAATTTTAATTTTGACGGCAACCAACCTTTTTTTATTCAATTCACGTTACAGGTGTTTTTTGTTCAATTTGCGTTTCTTATGTTATGCGTTTCTGTGTCTCATGTTATGCAATCATGTACCTTCAACGTATGTATTATGTATAGGGGTTTAAACAAATCAAATAAAAAAAATTCGATTCGTGATTCGAATTCGAATATATTGATTCCAATTCGAATATTTCGAATACGAATCCAAATTCGAATACTTTTTTCGATTCGAATATTTCTCAAATACGAATACGAATTAGAGTGTATTCGATTCGAATATATTCGAATATTTTATTCAATTTAAATATAAATTTTTATTATATTTTATCTTAATTTATTAGAGAATTTGTAAAAAATTAAGTTAGAAATTTCGAATTGAAATATTCGAGTCGAATCGAATATATTCGAATAAACTGGTCGAATCGAATACGAATCAAATTTGATATTCGAATTTTAAACGAATACGAATATGAATATTCGAATATATAGTCGAATTCGAATCGAATACTGAGATATTTGACTCGATTTGATTCGTTTACACCCCTAATTATGTATCTGAAATAAAGTAAATATAACATTCGCTTTTGTGTCTTGTGCTATGCGTTTTTGTGTTTGTGTTATGCGTTTTTCTCGCTTAACAAGAAATTTCGGGAGAATGTATTTCATCCCATATAAGGGCAATCTATCAATATGAAAATCTTCCCTCTCAACATTCACAAATTTTCAGTTTATTGAAAGAATGAAGCTTCAGACTTTCATTTATCAACTTCATTATTACAAGTGCACATAGGCTGGAGATAAGCTATCAAACAAGCTTAAGGGTTCCAACACTTAAGCCACTTTGATCACATCATGTTTGGCCAGTTAGAACAAATTGCCTAATGTTCTTGCTGAATTCCAGTACCCAAAACACGAAAAAGCGAGTTGAAAACCCGCCCCAAGTCTCTAAGCGTCAGAGCGCAAGAGAGCAAGAACTTCCCCGGCATGCATGTTGTTCACCTGCCGGAGCTTTCTAAGGTCTTCGTAAGTGATGGGAGCATAAAGGGGGAGGTGATCAGACCCGAGAAACTGCAATGGTGTTTCTATGGCAGCCTCTCTCGGTCCCAGAAGGAACGAGGCGATTGATACCCGAATTGCTGCTTCTTTGCACATCACCCTGTGCCTCACATTGCAAAATCTCCCATTGCTCCAAACCTTATGATCAAATAAAACAAGTATACGATAAGACGATAAAGTGATGGATGATCTAAACCTTGAACTATGCTACCTAGGACAAAACAAAAACAAAAACATTTTACTTACAGCAGCCATGTCTCCAAGGTTAAGTAGGAGGCTACCCGGGCAGGGATCAACAGCCACAAAATTGCCCGATTTATTCATGATTTCCAGTCCACCTACACTCTCGTCTTCCTGGAGGACAGTAAGGAATCCCGAGTCTGTGTGTATCTGCACCCCAGAAGAGCCTACATTCTCGGGGGTGAAATGATACTTGTTTATTCTGAACTGGCAAGGCCATCCTTCGAAAAGATCACCGCCTTTCAAACCCATCCCCTCTCCTAATCTTCGCCCAATCTCCCTCATCAAGTCATTCACAGCTTTAGCATACTTCACTATGGTCTCTCTATCAACAACATCAACATTCAAAGAGAATTAGCTAATATAAAGTTAAACATATAACATATATAAAAAATAAATGAGCAGTCTTCTTCTCATTATCAGCTTAAGCATTTAGTCGAGACTGAACCCATTCTTCAATTTAGTATCAAACTACTGAACAACTTATACAACTTCTATAAACTCATCTTTCCTAATCCAAGTGATTTTGAACATCTCCAAGTTCTAATCAAGATTCAAATAGTGTAATGGGTCTGGCATACTTAGACACATAAAAGGAATTAGAGATCAAAATCCCAATTCATTTTTTTTAGTGGCGAGAAAAACTCGCAGCCACTACTACCTTAGAGTTTGCATGGATAAACCTGGCCTTGTGACCCTAGCTGACAAAAGATCACAAGAAAGTAAATTAACCTAGATTGTCCACACTTGATAGGAAGGCACCAAACCAACATCCTAACCAACTTAGCTGAATAGAAACCCTCGGCCATTACCCGGAGTGTGCACCCCGGTAAACCCTATCTTGTGACTCTGGCCAGTATAAACTAGCTTAGGTTACTTAAAGACAAAAAAGGAAAATCAGCCTAAATTGCCTATAGTTGATTGACTCAAACCAATATTAGCCTACTCCCGCTAAAGTCCTAACTAAAATCTTATGGTTGCGCCAACTGTCTTGGCAACTTGGCTAAATTGACCCATCCCAATTCATGTTTGAAATATACTAGTTACTACGACAATAACTCAAGAACTTCTTAAAATTATATTGCTTAATATAAGAGAACCTCTGCAAGTTCTAATCAAGAATCACAAGCTCAAACTAAGCATTCTCAGAATCACCAGAAACTTGAATTTCTCAATTGGGTATCTGTGTATAATATATGAAAATTGATTAAAGATGAAACCTTTGGTGAGGCGAGGCATCGAGGTCAGTACAGAAGGCTTCAACATCTTGAGGAGACGACATATCGTAGAGCCCAAAAGCTTCGTAGAGTGGATTGATCGGAGTCGGGGAGACATACCCGCTGCCGGGAAGAACATGTTTGTTTCTCCTCTTGATCTCCACCGGAAGATCGAACAGCGACTTCACCACTTGTTTCATCTCCGACATGAGCGACGCCGGAAGAATCTCGCCGTGGTTGACGACCCTGAAGCATCCCCACTCCTCGCACGCCTCTATCAGCTTTCTTGACTGCGCCGGAAAGTCCTGCAAGTCGATCACCGGCTCCGTGGTCTCGCCGATGCTGCCCATTTGGTAGAATCCCACGAGTTGTTTATGAAATTGTATTCCGTTCGGCTAATTTGTAATGAGAATGGTGGCGGATAGTAAGTCCAAATGATTTTGACGGGAAGAGTGTTTGGGGGACAGCTCGCCGGAAAAAACGAAAAATGTCGTGTTTTTGTTGTCTGATTTTGGACATTAGTTGCTCGTCTATGGAAAACTCCTGGGATTTTACGGAATTCATTGAACCAATAATGTGCTATAGTTGCAATTCACTTATAAGATATAACACAATTTTTTGACTATCCGAATTACCGTGTTTGATTTGAGAGATAAAATTGAAATTCTCTCCTTTTGTTTAATTAGTATTTTTGGACCCCATAAGATTGCTCACATGAGAACTAACTTCCGAAGGACTAATCTTATTTGTCATCAAACATTCTCAATTGCATAATCATAATGATAGAACTTAATTGCAAATTAAATTAATTTATATATTTTCATAGAAAGCCTAGTTTTCATTTGAAGAAAATTAAATTAATTTATATATTTTTATAGAAAGTCTAGTTCTCATTTGAAGAACAGATTCCGTGAGTATTGATCTTATTTATCTATTTAGATAGGTCAATAGTTGAGGATGACATATTATAAATTGATTGACGACTGAGATCAATTTTTACTTTTTATGAAGGGATTGACTATAAATACATTAGACCCTAACACTTCCAAGCTATTGAACCCCATTTGAATGATATCTCATTGTTGCTAAAAAAGCAAAGACCAAAAGTATAATAATCAATTAACCATACAAATCATTAGAGTATTCATAATTACAATTCTCTAATTACCTTTATAATCCTCTTCTCAATGCAACAAAATTATAAAGATTGCACAATGAAATCTAATCTAGCCTATCCCATATATATATAACAACATAAAAACTAGATTAAGAGTGTCCTAGGTGGTTAGTACTTGGCTTGTCGGTTATATGTTCAAATTTATGTACACTCAGAGAGAAAATCTACCATTTGACTTATTTTTTGTGCAGTCTTCTTGGATATCCATGAATTCCTCGTCTTCCCCTCGTCGACCTGCCTGCTCTTTCCAATATGCCACTAGTTTTTTCAAACGCGCCACTTCCTTGGACGAAACATTCTTGTTGGGATCGTTTACAATGGATCGTACTCTTGATGCGTACCTGAATAACAAATGGTATGGTTAATGCGAGCTGAAATGACATCGGGGTAGAGCAAGCTGAATGGAAAGATTGAGAGTAACATACGTGAGAGAATTGTATGTCTCGTCTAAGTTGGATTCGACTGGGGACACGTTCACAAACATTAGTGTTTTGGCATTTCCACCCAGTGAATCACTCATCAACATCGTTAGCTTGTGGTTTCTATAAGGCACATGTTGGTTCCCCGTGGAGAGTGCACTGATCACGTCCCCGAGTGCAGAGAGTGACTTGTTGATGCCTTGAGCTTCTTTGAGCTGATTGCCTGAAACGCCGGACTTCTTCACTCTCTCGGAACCCGCAAGATCCACAAAACTTAGCTGCACAGTAGGGAGAAATGAATAAATAATGCTTAGCAAGTGAAACTAAGAATGCGGGTGCTAATAAGATTGGTATTAGAATGTTGAGGGTGCTAATAAGATTGATCTTAATACCTTTCCCCTCGAAACAGCTTGCGTTTGGAGATTTGTACTTTCTATAATAATAGAAAGTATCAAATGGGACCTCGAGCTCTGCTCGTTCATAAGAGTTTCAGTTGTATGTCGTTGCTCGGAACCTTTCTCAATGATTGTTCTTAGTTCTTCATACGTAGAAATAGAAACAATTGTTGCATTGTCAACGACAACCATACCCTGTTGCACCAACATATATTATCAATCCGACATATATATAACACACATATTGAAAATCACAATATCTATTCTCAATGATCAATCACCATTGAATCCTTTTTTATATCCAATTTTGGCCGCTTTCCCGACTTTGGTAAGAGGAGGTCTATAAGTGTATCTTGATACAATTCCACCATATACGCCTGCATCAATCGAGAAGTTAGAGGTGCAAAAAAAAATAAAAATCACAGACATCAACGTGACTAAACCATGTAATCACACCTAAAAATTTCTTCTTTTTTTTGGGTGGTAAAGGAAACCCGCAGCGACTACCTTAAGGGTTTGCACCGGGTAAACCACGCACCCTAACCGGCAAAGGACTAGAATGAGATAAATTACCCTAAGTTGTCCATAGTTGACCGGCTCAAACCAAGAAAGCCAATAGGCCACCTCACTGAGAGTGAACTAAAAACTTTGTGATTACCAAAGCCAACAGCTCGACCAAAGTGTTACCTTCAAGCAAAAAGACAACTTCTTGTTGTCTCGCTTCATTATTGTAAAGAGTTCGGACATAGCTCGTGGTGTCAGTCCGGGGTTATTGTCACATCCGTAAATGGTAAAAGTCTTCCCAGAGCCGGTTTGTCCATAGGCAAAGATGCAAACATTGTATCCATCAACGGCGGATTGCACCAAATACTGGAATAATGGTAGGCATAAAATAGTCACGAGAGTTATAAAACAAAAAAGTTGATCTTTGACGAATAGGAAACAACAAATATTTCAATCATACTTACCTTTGTATCCTCAAACACATGTTCTTGGGTAGAACCCCCATCAAACACTTGGTCATACATATGTTGTTTTCTCTCATCTTTCCATAGATGTTCAACAGTGAACTCATCAACACATGTCAAGACATTTTTTTCCATTGCACCTCTCTCTCTTTCGGTAAGAGGCCTTACTCTACAGTAGACTCGGATCTTTCCTTTCATATCTAAGAAATTATCGAAAAGAAAGAGTCTTTAAGAAATGTTTCTAAATGTACTTATTTGTATGTGGCACATATTATGATGAAATCGTAATACCTTCTATAACATTGAAGTATCGCTTCCTCAACACTTGTTCCTCTTTATAAAGTGCTTCCGTCTCAGCCAATTGTGCCGCTTGCATCTTCAAAAGCATAGCGGTTTGCTCGTTCTTTATATCAATCTCCTATTAGATGCAAGTATGCCGGCAAAATACCATATGATCAAGAAACAAAAAAAAAAAAAAAAAGGTAAATAAACAACGTCATTGCTAAATAGATAAATATCTAGTAAAAAATGGCTACCTCTTTTAACTCTCTCAATTCCTCGAGCTCTTTTAGATTCTTTTGTAATACATCTAGCTCGTTATCCTTTGTCGCAAGGATTGACTGAGTAGCAGCTAAATCTCGTTTGACTTCTTCCAATTTTTTTTGAAGTTCAGAAACTTGAACTCTTAATGCCTTGAATTCATGTTCAGAATTTCTCTGAAGGGTAACGGTAAGCATTCAGAAATCAAGAACTAGGTATTTAACACATATTCAAAAGATACAAAACCGGGCAAAACATGAAGCAAAGAGAGTAAGCAAATCACCTCGTCAGTTTTCTTCTTTTCAAGCCTAGAAATCTTTTCTTCTAACGATTCTTTTTCACTCGAAAGTTTCCTGTTTGTCTCTTCTGCCGCATGCAACTCAGCAAGCCGAACTTTCAGTTCATCTTGGATCTTATGTAAGACCTATAAACAAACATGGGTTTTAGCCGTTTCACTTTAACAAAGCTAACCTAAAACTGGCAATTGCATAAGCAAAATCAGTAAAACTTTGCAGATAAGGCACGTCTGAATTCAAGATTTGCCTGAATAAATTGAGATATAAAATCTTAAGACAATAAGTCTCTCTTCACATCGGACCACATGGAAAGCAAAACCGACAACATTCAAGTTATACCTTATTGTTTGCTTCCGCCAACTCCTTTTTGGTATTATTCTCCAGTCCTTCGGGACTCAATTTTGCAAGTCTCACCTCCATGCTCTGCTTCTCCATTAGTACAGCCTGTTAAAGCGCATAAATTTATATTTATAGCGAAAACGGTACAAGGCTGTACCATTATCAATCTCCCTGTGATGTGTGTGTGTGTATGTGTATATCGGGATCGTGAGCAATTACTTGAATGACATTACCTGAAGTTCTGAATTTTTCTCTTCGCACTGTGATCGGAGTTTATCACGATCACTAGTCACAGCTGCTAAATAATTCTTCTCTGATCTCAAGTTATCTTTCAAGTTCTCCAGTTCTTCTTGCATTTCTAACTCACGTTTTTGCCTTTCATCTGAAGTTTCTACCAACTGGAGAAGAGCACTGACTATGAGTGTCGTAGGCAAATAAACATACATTTTGACACCAACTAGTAAAAAAAAGGCTAAAAGGTCACTCACTTCACTAATTTTTTTCTCCGATTCTTCAAGGGCTCTGGATAGGTCTTGGATACATTTTTCATAAACGTCCATTTTTGGGGACTTGCCATTATTCGAAAGATCTCCATTAACCGAACCATTACTACTGGAGCGTGCTTTTGAATAGCGGCGTAACATCACATCATTGATATGTGTCTGAAGGGCAACGCATATTTCCTCTCCCTGCAATAGTAAAGAAGAAAAGCCGCACAAAACACAAGAAGGTAGCAGTTAATATCGTTTTATATGCACAATACAAGAAACTAACTTGGTAACTTTAAACTCTTGGACCTGTTTAGTTTCGAACTGATATATATGTAAGACACCAGCAACTCGCATCTTAAAAAATACAGCACTGTTGCTGCTACCAAATTGCATTATATCCCTCAGCTCAGCGGAATGTAAATATTCCTTTGGAACTGGACGGAAAAAATGAACCTACAGCGAGCAAATAATCGTTTTGGATCAAACACAAATGATAGAGACTGAAATTGCAAATTAAGCAAACCCATTTAGATATTGCGGAGTATAAAACACACGGTATTCTCAATTGAAAATTGCATGACAAATCAAAGCTCACCCCACGTTTGTTTATGCCCAATATTATTTTCCCAGGCAGGAGTCCGATTGGGTCATCAATCTTACGAACAGAAAAGAAAACTGAATTCCCATATGGAAGTGTCCTTATGATCCCCAAAAATTGTTTTCTAGCATCATCTTTTGTCAAATTTTCCTGCCACTTTGTAAGAAATATAAAATTGGTAATCCAAGTTTCTTCTTGCAGCAAAAAGTAGATCAAGATAGTTAAGGGACGAGCACAACATCTTCTTGCAAGTCCTAAAC